TATATTTCCTCAGCATGTTATGTCTTAGGAAAAAGAGTTCATATCCTCTCATGTTACGGAATATTAATGGGTTTTGGATGACAGATGCACACATTTTTTTTTTTTTTCTGTTGCTAAGGGACAATTTTTGTGATATAGTTGGGGTTAATTTATTAGGCTCTAAATTTATCCTAAACCTTTTGATGAGGATCCTATGAAATATTCTCTGTTTCCTGGGGCAAAGAAAAAGATGTTATGGAAAAATAGAGACATTTATTTAAAAGCATTGCAGATAATAGTAAATATGCTATCGAGGTAATTTTCTTTTAGGTAATTTTTAAATTTCCTTCAGATTATCTTATTTGGACATACCATGACTAGTGCCATTTATATATTTTATTTTCCACTGAGGGCTGATTTGCTTTTCATGGGAATTATTGGGGTAAATTAGCAGTTTGTGCTCTTCCTTGAACTTTAACAGTCCTATAGATTTTGCATCGGTCAGTATGTTGGTGAAGTTTTTCATCTGCAAAAGTGTAAACTATGGAAAGTATGAATTTAGAAACTTTTACTTTGGTACTCTCCAATTTGTCTTATCCAGTACCTTTTCCCCATGTCCAGGCATTTTCAGATCTCACCTCATCCCCGTGTCTCCTGCGGATCTCAACTCTGTATATACCCGCTTGAGCCTTAGCCGGGGTGGTGTTAATTGTTAATGGTCACTTTCAGGGCCTCTTGCGTTATAATATAGGCCATAAACACAGCACCAAAAAACCCCAAAACAAAACAAATAAGCCATTACAATTCAAAAGAATGAGGTATTAATTGACAGGGACAAAAGCTGCTCGTTTGGGTCTAGAACCACATTAATTCACTAGGCAAAACCTAACCAGCTCTCCCTGTAATGATAGACCAAGGTATTTTGCAATTACTAATGTGATTCACTGCATGATGCTTTTCCTTCTAAGTCATTATGATTGTCTAGTATTGACAGAAGTTTGTACTTTATAACTGGGATAAGGCATGTAATAAGCAAATTTCTCCATGGGAGTAGTAACCTTTAGTATATTAGGCGAGCCTACCTACTAAGAGATACAGTGATTGGTCAGCTAATGTGCCTAATGAATCCTTATTCCTATGTTTCCAGAGAGCACTGTCTTTTAAAAAAAAACACAAAACAAAACTCTGGAATATTGTTCATCTTTGTTAAAAAATACGTTGTGTGACCAGTATTGAGTGGCTAATATGTACTGTTTGACATTGGTGAACAAAATAAACTAAGCCCCTACTTTTATGTAGCTTTCATTCTAGCTAATCTCTCTCAAAAAAAGTAGAAATAGCTTGATTAATAACCATAGTTAAATAATTTTATGCTATTAAATCAATCAAAATGATAATATAGGATTATAAACTCTGTGGGGACAAGAACCTTTTTTGAAATTTTTGATAATATCTGAAGATATAGCACATAGTAGTCGGATGGTAGGCATTTAATAAATATTCATCAAATGAATAAATAATTCCAAATGGTAGGTTATTGTGAATGAGCTTTTAAAATTATAAATTGCTCTACCAATGAAGACATTCTTTTGTGGTTAACTACATAACTGCTTAATGGTCACACGCCTAACTATTTAAAATATTCTGTCATTTGGTTGATGGATAAAACATCTAACCTAATACTCTGACCAATTGTTCTCAAGTCAGTCAGTTGGAGTCTGTTTGTCACATACAGTCGTTAGGCGTTTCATCAGTAGTGTTTGATTCATAATGGTTAAATGTTGGTTTGTTCTCCCTTAAGTAACTATTAGAAAACCTACTCTCATGAAATGATAAAAAACCACCTTAGGAATGTGTAATAATACAAAGCATACTGAAAAATCTTCTTTTCACTTCAAAATATTCACTAATGTCACCATTCATTAAAAATAATACCAAATATTAAAAGTTTTTGGTGACCGTATTTTATTTTTAATTTCCAAGTTTTCCTTAAAAGATATTTCTTAGACAAAAAAGTGTAGGTTGACCATGACTGCAACCCCTTTCAGGTTACTGCAGCAAATCTAAGGCAGATGGGGGTAGTGTAACACCACTCAGCCTTCCTTTGGACCATGCTATGCACACCATATTCTCTCTTTTATCTGTGCTATGTTTTTGGCTCAAAAGGAGTGAGCCGAAGGCAGTTTAATATCACAGAAGCTGCTCTGTTCTGCACATGTGTGTGTGTGTATTCCCCAAGAAGATTCTAGAAGGGGATGTTTTCCCCGAATTCTCCTGTTGCTTCCAGCCTTTCCAATCTCCTCAGTGATCTCCTCTCCACCCTTTCCCCTCACTCCCTCCAACGGGATCCAAGATAGCTTCTGCTTAAGAATTTTATGATTGCATGAACAGTATTTTGGACTATTTTCCAAACTTGAGAGATAATTTAGGAATGCAGATACCATGTATATTGGATATCTGTCTTTCATTGCAGTCATGTCTTTCACTGAGGAACTTTTGTTTCAAGGAGAAACCAACAAAGAAACCATAAGTGAAATAGAAAGACCCTTCCAGACAAAACAGATTTACAAATGCTTCAATTTTCTTTTGAGCAAGTTTCTTTTGAAAGGCTATCTATTACATGTAGTTGGTTTACATATTCGTGGACTAAATGTGTCAAATTTTAGTGAAGGAAAGAGAAAATGAACAGAAAGAATGACAGTTGGAGAAGTACCTCTTACCTGGATTCAATTGTCTCTGTACCGCTCCCCCCCAGCCCAGAAGGTCACTTCCATTATATAGCCCAGGCAAATATTACATTATGAGAGGTAGGTTTTTATGCAGGCTTCTCTTCTTGAAATGTAATTATATTTAGGAACAATTCTTGAGATGCTCTGGGTGTTTCTCCGGTCCCAACTTCTCTCTCAGCATATATTTATTCAGTATGTTCAATGACTTATACAACTTTTAAATACATGCTCTGAAATTTGGAATGTTTATACTCTGCAGTTGCAGATGCTTTATCTTTCAAATTGCTCTCATGTATATAAATACAAATCTACCTGGGAATCCAAATTATGTAGTAAAATACACTTAATTGAAAATGAATCTGACTTTTCATTTGGTGGTTAGCATTTCCCCTTTATTCCTGGCAAGTTTTTTTCTTCTTTATTTTCTTGCTCTCATTGCACATGTTGATCCTTTTGAAAAATGAGTGTTTGCCAAATCGAGTCTGAGTTGGAAGGGAAGGTGGGGGAGGGTGGATACTAAAAAATCTGACCAGAAATATTGGCAACTTATTTCCAACATAGAGGTAAGCTATATGCCTGGTTAAGCAGTTAAATTACAATGACACTGATTGATATTATAAATGAGGCTTTGGGAAAATGAGTTTTTGAGACTCGTGACACCTAGACTCATTTTTATTTTTCATTTGTATCTTAGGGAAAAAAAAAAGTCAGCACGTGTGGAAGATAATAAACGTCGTTTCTTCCTCTAGCGTGGCCAATTTTTACTTGTAACTTTATGCTGTACTCTAGAGACATGAAGCATATTCAGAACCTTGATAATTTATTTGAAGAAATGTAAAGAAAAACTGTAGTAGGCTTTAGTTGGGATTGGTTTTGTAAACGCAGAGAAAAAACTTTTTGTTTTTGTTTTTTTTTGTCTCAAAGTGCTTGATCTGAATCCACAGCATTGACCAAAAAGTTCTAAGTTTGGTTTGGATATGAAATAAACAACTTCAAGAATTTTAATGGTTTAAACCATTTCTTATTGAAATGCTATTCCTTCACTTACTAACAACCTGCACTATTGCTATTCATGTGATATCTCTTTTATAGAGGTGTTCGTGTATGTCAGTACTTGGGTCTGCCACTGTGTAGCCTACATAGCTCTAATAAAGAATCTTCAGGAGGGCAAATCTTAAACAGCATTATCAAGTTTTAGGGCAGTGAGTTTGTATAAGAAAAATGAGGCACACAATAAAATTCAGCCAACCCTTTCAGTATCTTGCCTTCACCAATAAACTGAAGACTTGTGAAAAATATGGCTTTGCTTTAGACACTCAGAGGAAATATTTAAAAAGAAATTAAACAAGAAACCAGGCGCCTCTAGGTAGAGTAAAAGAAAAACATTAAAATTTCATAATAGTTCTAGAATTTGCTCGATAAATCTACACTGGTATCAGAATAATATCCCAGACAATGAAAGTACTGTGAGCCCTAAGGTTAAGTGAGAGCTTGTAAGGAAAATTATAGCTGCACAAAAACATTGTAGACTTCCAAATTTTAAAGGCATTAAACATTAAGGATAAACACGTACTTTGCTCATTTCCTTGGATTAAGTATGGTATTTTAGAAAGGTGTGCACTCTCCCCATTATTCCCATCAAATTTTGAAAATGCAAATTTCAATTTGCATGTAGTCAGAGAGAATATTTGACTTGTGTTTATTTGCATGGGTTAAAACAAACCAAAGTACTGAGTATAACTTATGGGAAAAATCTAATTTGTACGTCTGTTTACATTTCAACTGAAATGACTTAAAAGTTAAGAATCATGACACTGTATCTTAGGGTATTTATTTTTCAACCGTAACTGACTTAATGAGAGAAATAGAAATATATTTTTCTGTTTAAAATTTTTGTATATAAAGATCATTAAAGCTGGGCTATCTCATCACCATTATTAAATTACTATAACTACTGCTTTGGGAGCTAGAATATATTTACTGGTGATTACTTCTCTACTGTATTTTATTCTAAAAAGATCTGGCTGTCATTAAGAAGCAACAAATTAACCTCAGTTTACAACTCTTCCTTCTATTTTTTTAAGAAGTAAATTTTAATAACTCATAAAAGCTAGAAATAACCTCAAATGTAGAACTGAGATATACGTTAATTTAGCCACAACCTGAGACTTACTATAGAAGTGTATTAAATGTGTACTCTGCAAAGAAAGATCTAAAAGAGTACTATATAAAACCGGTGGCAAAATTTTCAGTGTGCTGCTTGTAAACTGGCTCCCCCCCCCCCCCCCCCCCAGGACTTCTATGCTCCATGCACTGTGCTCTGTTAGATGCGTGGCTATAAAATTGTGAAAAGGAAGGCTTTTCTGGTAGCAAAAGGGTTAAGTTCTTTTTGCTTTACCAGTTTCAAATTACAATGAGAAGCCTCTTCTTTCCCAGCAGGGTTGTGCTTACATTACTCTTTAGATCTCCCTTGAAGAGGGCTGGTATATTTGTGCCTGCTGGAGGTGGAATTAACAGTTAGAAGGAGAAAGGGAGTGAATGAACTTACAGGAAGGTTTTCAAGTAAATTCAGGGAAACACATTTACTTGAATAGTACAACCTTGAGTCTTATTTTACACTAAGACGACACAAAAGACGTTAAAGTTATCACCAAGCTGCCGGACCAATATATATTCCAACACCAAGGTGCAGATCAGCATAGATCTGTGATTCAGAAATCAGGATTTGTCTTGGAAAGAGCTCAAGGGTTGAGAAGAACTCAAGAGCAAGTGAAGATAACTTTGGGAACTACAGTTTATCAGAAGATCAACTTTCGTTGATTCAAATACCAAAGGCCTGATTAGCATCAATCCATATAGGAATGCATAGGTCATCTGATCAAATACTATTAGCCTTCTTCTGCTACATCAATGCAGGAAAAACTCTTACCAACTGTGGATAATTGGAAATCCAAGTTTCAGCTTTCTTAGAAATAACTACTCTTGACATATTCCCAAATATTTAAAATAGGACAGGAAAAATCAGTGAGGATGTTATGTTCAGAAATGTCACTGTCATGAAGAATAGGTAAATTTGTTTTTTCAGCTACTGGGAAAGCATACCTCCTAGGAACTTAAGATTTTTTTTTTTTTTTTTAAGAGGACAAGAAGGACTAAAAATATCAACTTCTGCTTTTGGACAAAAATGCATCTGACTATATTTCTACTTAGGAGTATTGTGGGTTTCCTCTGGAGCTGCTGGGTTCTAGTGGGTTATGCAAAAGGAGGTTTGGGAGACAATCATGTTCACTCCAGTTTTATTTATAGAAGACTACGGAACCACGAAAGACGGGAAATACAGAGGGAAATTCTCTCTATCTTGGGTTTGCCTCATAGACCCAGACCATTTTCACCTGGAAAGCAAGCTTCCTCTGCACCTCTCTTTATGCTGGACCTATACAATGCTATGGCCAATGAAGAAAATCCCGAAGAGTCGGAATACTCAGTGAGGGCATCCCTGGCAGGAGAGACCAGAGGAGCAAGAAAAGGATACCCAGCCTCTCCCAATGGGTACACTCGTCGCATACAGTTATCTCGAACGACTCCTCTGACCACCCAGAGCCCACCTCTAGCCAGCCTACAGGATACCAACTTTCTGAATGATGCTGACATGGTCATGAGCTTTGTCAATTTAGGTATGTTGTTCTTTTATTTGTTAAACTGTGTTATTACTAAGTGGAAGTTTTTCTAATAGTAAAGTAGCTGCCTGGTAGGTGGTCGTGTTTATATAAAGTCATTTTCTATAACTCTCTTCTCTAGCTTCTGTTTCCTTTCTTTCATTGATACAATGTAAGATTTTGCTTTAGGCAACAAAGTCATACACACAGGTACATATATTTAATTTTTTAAATATAAAAAGCTAAAATTAACACTTACGGTTGGGTAGTTTTGGGTCCTTTTAGATCTTGTTAAAATTTCAGTCTTGCTTTAGTGTATGAATAAACAGGCAATAGTCTACAAAAAAAAAGGAAAATTTATGAGGATAGTTGTGCTATGGGCAAAAAAATAATAATACAAATAAAAAAGAAACATTTGCAGATTGAAAACTAAAGTGACTTTCTGAAACATTTTTTTGTTAGCAACTTAACAAACATGTAAGTATACGTTTATATGCTACCTAAAAACTCTCATTTGGGCGAGTCAGCTACTGTGAAAATATCAACGTGCAATTAACTGAGATAAAATAATGCTGTAAAAGATTACTATCAAAGATTTTCAGGGAGAGATTCTGAAACTGTGAAAAATATTTTGGAAAAGAAGCTTCAAACTAACATTTCTTAACTTCTTAATAATGAAAAGATATCATACCCATTTGATTATTTCCAGAAGCAAGAGAAATATAAAGCATGCTATAATGGTCTTTACTTATGCAAGAAATTTTCCTTTTCCTTTAAGATAAGAAATGAATTGAAAAATTCTTTGATGAGCAGCATTATTAGAGAATAATTTTTTTAAATTATATTTTACTCAATGCTGGTCCTTTCATGGTAGTTTTAAAATATTGACAATATCAAATGGTAAATTAGTGCCCAATATTTCATCTCTCAAAAATATTAAGGAGTTACCAATTTAAAGAGACTTCACAAGGGCTGTAGTTTTAAAAAATGTTTTAGTAGAGGCTAAAGATGAAAATTCACTATCTTCAGACATTCAAAAAATAACGGTATATAGTTAGCTTTGAAGACAAATTTTATGAACAAATTTAATCAGCTTGAAAGAATTAGAAACATTTTAATGTAAGAACTTTCAAAACTTTGTTTGAAAACTGCAATCTGCTTTGACTTAAAATTGACATGTTTTATTATACTTAATTAAAAACTTCCTTGTATAATATCTCAAAGAAAATAGTATTTGAAAAGTCAGATAGCAACAAATTCAAGTACATGAATGCTTTTATAAAACATGTTGCTTAATATGCCCTGCTCATTTGCTCTTAGCAATCACAGCATGAAGGATAAGGTGCTTAATAAATCATATTTCATGTTGCTAGAGACAAAGCTCTCATTATTAAGTTTTAGTAAGTCATCATTGGTTGCCCTAATCAGGTGTCCTGGAGGCGTTTTCTTCTACATATAATTAACAGGTTTCATTTGGAACTTTCAAGCCATTAAAATATGGCTTAGTTCTAAATTAGTTTGATTGCTTTTTCCTAGTATAAGTGGTATGCTATGTGGCTCATGGCATATTTTACTTTGTTGCAGTTTCTAAAGCATTATTCAATAATTTAAAGGAGTTTTAATATTCTAATAGAAGAATTTCAATCTAGCATGGATTTACATATGCATAAAATAAATCACTGAAAAAATTAGTTCAGGTCACCTAAAATCTAACAGGGCAGAATGTGTTACGTACTTTAAAAAACAATAACTCAGTCATGAATCTGTTCTAAAATATATATTTTATTGAAATCAAATATTTTGATCATTCACAAAAGAAATATATTTGTTTTAGAAAGGAATTAAGTATGATTTTTGAATCTGTGTGCCATTACTTTTTATACATTTACACAAAAAAAAGAAAGCCAAAAACAATAATAAACAGTTTTATTCAGTGACTTCTAGGACTGTTTTTATCATTAAAGAATACTTACATTTTTAAATCAATGAAATTTTGGTTGTATTGTTTGGATTATACCAACAAAGCAGTTTACTAACTATACCATGAAGCACAATTATTCATTTTACTCTAGAGAAACAATATCAGATATAAGCTTTAGGAGATATTTATTTTTATCATGCTTGAACTGCTGAATAGTGATTTATCCTCATTAACGAATCATATTATTTTTTCTTTATTTAATAATTCCAAACTAAATGTCTCATGTGAAATTACTGACAAATTGATTCTGATACTGAGTTTTTCCAAGTAGTCTCTGAGGAAAATTGAACCACAATTTTTTTTTATCCTTCGACCTTGCCTTCTAATATATCCAAAGCTTACAACCAATCACTACTTAGTAAAAGGCTTTAACTTCTGTATTTCTTCCATAATAAAATAAGTCAAAGCAGACTTAGAATAAGGTAAAAGTGTAATATCATGATTAACTGCACTAAGAATTTCAGTGGTTCTTAATGTATCATTCATTAACAAATAGTATTTTTTTAAATGTTCTTATAAGACTCAGGAGGATTTTATTTATTTATTTATTTTAGTGTCTTAAAAGATATGTATATAGTGGGGACTAAGGGCAAATGATCAAATTAGCAACAGGCAAGGGATTTGTATTGAGGAAGTCACCTGGATATTTAAATATGTGAAAAGAATCTGTTGACAGTTCCCATAATAAGCTTAATTACATTAAAAGGATATGGTAGCATCCTTTATATTAATGCAAAGATGTGTCATTTTCAGGTCAAATGATGGATTTTCTTTATCTTATCATTCAGAAAGACATTTTTTCTAACATTAGTTTTGCTCATCAAGAATTAAATTAATTTAAACTCCGAATCATTTAACAAAATATCTATTTTTAAAAATTTCAGATGAGATTAATTTTTTGTTCATAAATGAAAAATAGATGAGTATTTCCTAAAAAAAAAATAAAATGTGAATAAATTGTCTTAAGACCCATGTAAACAACTAAACATGAAAACAAGTGATTTGTGCACTTTGAAGAGACAAATATTAATTATTGTGTGAAGAGAAACTTTCCACTCTATTGGATTCATTATTTTTAGGCCAATTTTTGTCAGTCTCCTAGTGTCCAGCTCTTACAGGTTGACTCTCCTGCTTTGTCCCTAAAACTGTTGACCATCCCAGGCATCTTTGCTCAGTCAATACCATGTTATTTTATTGAGAACAAAAATATCTTTCTGGTAAATCTTTTCTTTTTTAGCCATCTTTTTCAAAAATATTAAGGGTTAGTTTATATATCAGATATCTATGCAAATAAAAGGGAAGATTAGGGAACTTGCTTGCAATTTTTAAGTAAATCTTCTGTTTACATTAAGATAAACACGTGGTGTATTTCTAAGATCTTTTAGTTAGAAAGCACTTTTGTTTGATTACTTGGCAATAGTACAATTAAAATGATACAACATTGTAGATGTTTTAGAGGAAAGTACAAAAAACAGTGAACACAGGAAATTTACTTTCATAGTATTCCTTGTCTACATGTATTTCTCTGGGAAAGACAAACATTGGGTTTTTTTTAATGGTTTCTCATCATTCTCATCAAGTTGGCTTGGAGTCAAAAACTTCTTAGATATATTTCAAGAACATGCATTAATTCTAAAGCATGAAAGTACATGAAGGTGATGCCTAGATTTTTTCATATTTTATAACAGCATATTTAGCACGTTAAGATAGGAAATAGAAAAAAAAAATACTTTCAAAACTTTAAATTAAACCCTTCTCCTCTTACTTCCCCAAATCATCAAACTCTCCTGGTACTAGATGAAAAAAATGCTTATGTTCTCAGTTGACAGGTTTGAAAGACATCATTGATATTTATTGTTGCTTTTGGCTGACTCAAGTGCCCAGTAGAGAGGAATTTATACACAGATCTACCTAAAGATGCCTATCTGTGTAGTCTCTCCAACAGGGTTATTAACACTTGTGTAACATAAACTTACCTGTAAACACATGCAAGATTTTTTGGGGGGGGGGCAGTGATAGGAAAGGAGACAAGATGCTCTAAAACCATTATAGTACATATTCATGGATATGCCTGGAATAACAAATGCTGATATTGGGTAAGACAATATTTCTTTAACACCTTTAACTTTCGAAGAGAAAATAAGTTGCTGAGGGTGGAAATCTTTTTACTCTCTTCTTCAACAACCCTTGGCGTTCATGAATGTGACCCAAGGGATTCTTGTTCTTTAAAGCCACATTATTGTCAAATGATGGGCATGGCTACAGCGATAACTATAATCATGTAGTTTAATTAAAAGCTTTTTGCTCATCTTAATGGTCACTCACAAATAGCCAGTTGTAAAAGTTTATTCAGAAGTAACAGCTGGAACTGTGAAGGTATGATAATATAAACTCAGAGGGCTTAGGGCTGCCTCACCCACCACCTCCAGTTCCCTCCTTTCATTCTTCCATTTTTTCAATATTGCCTCCCTCTCCCACTTCCTCCCCTCACATTACTTGGCCTTTCCTCTTTACTTTGATGGTCTCTCTACCTCCAGGCTTTCTTGGCACCCCTCTCCTTACTGTCCCCACCCCTTCCTGGGGTCCGCCTTTGGTCCTTGTTTCTTCATAGCTGGAGGCTGAGATTAGCTGAAAATCAATTAGTTACAGCTTGATCATTTAGGTACAGTCTCCTGTTTCTCTGAAGTTGAGAAGGAAAAGGTTATGATGTGCCAATTGCAGCCTCCACCCATCAGGAGAAAAGCTCCCCAGGGCATCAGAACTTCTCTGGCTGTTGCCATCCCCTGGAATTGTTTCTCCACCATCCCATTCTTCTTTGCCTCCTCACCTCTCCCTGAGGATCCCATTGACAGAACTTAATTGTTTTTGCCTTCCCTATTTTATTACATAATTAAAATTTAAAAGGGGAAATTTAAAGGAAAGTAAGAAAAAAAAAAGAACTGCAACACTGAACAAAAATAACACTAAGAAAAAATGCAATCCTCTGTTAGTTTATAAAACACTTTAGCTTACCTTATTTTTATTTCACACTCATGTC